TTTTTATTTCTTTGCCACACACTCCTGGAAAACTAATTTATTGGGTAGCCAGACGACCACATTTGTCACGCAAGAACGGCTTGGGAAAACCCAAGTTTAGCTGGAGATATCAGGTTGCTGGAAGTAAGGTGATCTAGGATAGCTCACTTCAGAATGCGTTCCATCACCTTGCACTGCACACTAGTAAGGCTTATAGGCCTGTAGCTGCCAGGCGACAGTCGGTCACCAGTTTTGTAGATTAGAGTGACAGTCGCTTCCTCTCCAACTATGACAACCTCGTGCAGAACACATTAAAGAAAATGAGGGGTGTTTTAAATAACTGCTGGCAGAAGAACGGAAGAGGAATTCCTCGAACCCTGATAGTGCTCAGCGACTTGGATACAAACGCCAGGTAGACAATTATTCACATCAGGTGATTTTTCCTTTCATGGTTTCACCATGTTAAAATGACCAGCCTTTGTACTTCCAAACACGAAAAACTGAAGGTTTATGGATCAGCGTTTAGTAACAGGGCGTTGAATACAACTTGATCTTATGATGATTCCTTTATTCACTTGCCTACTCCGACTATGTACTTTTGAGCTCTTGTTGTTTTGCTTATTCGTACCCGGCACTCACCTTGCCGCAGAGGACGTCCTTTCCGACACTTGTGTATTGACATGTGTGTCTGTGTGTGAATGTGCGCTGCTGACCTACTTACCCATGTGCGTTCATGTCCCGTTTGCTGAGCCTGCCTTGACTTGTTTTCTCATGGGCTCCGCGTGATCGCGCGTCCAATGGTAATCACGAGGCCGTCGTCGGAAGGAACGACTGCAACCCACGCTACTGAGCCGTCATTCCGCTCGCCGTTGTTTGGTGTGCGGACGGTGACAATGCACTGTGCCGGTCACTGACAGATGTGTGAACTTGTAGGCGCTACGAACGTGAACAAGTGAGGATTGTTGTGCACATTGGCTTACCCTTGTGTAAATGGTGCCGTGGAATTACGAACCCAATTCTTCTTTTTGATATTCGGGATTGTCGAACCTACACGTCACTTAATGTTCCGTATCGGGATCTTCAACACAATGTAATGATTGTTTCTTAATGAATCCTTCCACGGTTGACGAAACACGGAATTCCTATTGGTGCTGAAAACTCTATCTTGATTGGTGAACTTCATTCGAGTTTCGTGTGGCAGAATCAAAGTGCGATGGTTCCTTGTACAGATATCTCGTGAAGTGCAGTTAAATCTTTATCAGCAATCTTGCTGTTGACATTGATGCGTCCGGATATCTTACTGTACAGGACACTCGTATTTACATAGTATTTCTTAGTCGTGCAATTTTATCCGTCCCTAAGTTTATTTTGATGTTATGAGAGCGCTATCGCATGCGCATTGTTGGCCAGAACACGCTGTATAGAAGTGACAATACCCGCTCTGTTATGAGTAACCCGACAATCCTGTCACAAATTTATTGAATGGATCTGATGCAACATTCTGTCCGAGGAAAATGACCATGTTTATCAATTGGACACGGTGAAAATAAAGTGACTAACAACCGCATTCAACTGCAGGAGGATGGGGTTATCTGTGAGATTTACATCCATCTGGAGACATCCTAAGCCCGGCCAATTAGTTGCGTATATTTGCTATTGTATGAAATCTTAGGAGTCCGTGAACATTCCGACGTATCATACTACTTCAGTGCTTTAGGATAAACACTGGATCAAACCGATGTTCGGATGCGTATTACACAGTCCGCTTTAAAATGCTGTTGGGCAGGCACCCAGAATACTACGAAAGAGGTGTCAGCTGGTGCCCGATGCCCTGGATCGAAGTTCTTGGAAGACTGTTCTTCGGTAAGCTATAAACAGCATGTACGGCTAAGGATGATGTCCAGTGGTTTGACTGACTGATGGGGACTTAGGGTGGAATCCCCCTAAAAATACAAGAATCTTCCAGTGCGATGGGACAACCAACGACCAAGTCAACTAATGCATAGTTATAACGCCGACCGGGATCCCACTTGGTTCACACTTTGTGAACGAACGGCATCGATTCGTCATAATTGCGCTTATTTCGAATCGCCTACTCACTGATATAGTAAATGTGTCGATGGACAACTGTCAGGGCAAATGGAAAGCTTGCATATCCGAAAAATCCCGTCAGTGCAGTGGCTCCACCTACCACAAATTATTCAATGAGGAAACCACCTGTAGGTTGTCGCAGGGGTTACGCAATAAGGGCGATAGCTTTGGTGCAAGATCACAATAGGCTGCGTCACATGGCCATATCTGCCAGAGTTATTAATCATTGGCTCGTTCCCTTCCGAGGTCATCATCCGAGGAAACGGCAGTTACCAACTGATTTGATCAGTGAGGACTATTGTGTTTCGCTGCTAAGTTATGAACTAACCATCCCTAGGTCATCCCCATCCAAGGCGAAATGTCCATTCACATAGGAAGGGACCTAGCCAACGTAACCAGTGAGCAGTCTGCAGACAGACTGTGCGCTAATCCAGCACTGCAAAGAATGATCAAGAACAATGTACACAAGGTGTATAATTCCGCGGTTATGGGAGGATAAACCATTAACTCCAGGAAGTAAAGGGATTGCGACAGATATTGCCTGTTCATAAAGAACTGCGTAAGAAACACCATCATTATCCATTTTCGACCGATAGTGAACCTCAATTTAACTATTCCGAATTTCGTCATAAAGAGATCATTACATGTAAAGTAGGTGTAAGTCAGCCATGGAATGTGTAACTGCAGTAATGAGAATGTCCGCACCGCGACACATAGGATTTGTGGGTTTCACCTCATCTTTGGTAACTAACAGGGTACAAACACCAATAAACAGCTGACGTAGTAAAAACTCAGATAGAAGAGTACAAAATATTTCCGGGATAGTATAAAAGGGAGAAATGCGCAAATTGTAGAAGTGTACAAGTGGTGGCATCATATGAGCTAAAATCATCACAATGAACAAATGATTAATATGGAACAGGATAAACGGGAATTTCAAGGTCAAATAAGAGACTCGGATGGAAATGTACCTGAAATAAAAGAGAACAGTATTGAAATAGCGGATAATCATTGGGAAATGTGATTGCACGGCAAACGACAGTACCTACAGAAGTAACCTTAAGCTTGAGGCCACTGTCGATCGAAAATTCATCCAGAAACCCACCAACTTCACAGTGTGGTAAGGTACATAATTAACAGAAACAGACACAGTTCACACGAGTCGTCTAGGCTAAATAAATCTATCGACGTATGGCAACGTTGTTTGGGCAACGGCACTCGGGTCGAACGAGCTGGAACGTTTCTCAAGTAACCTCTACTCACGGACACTTAAATCCACCATACTTTTGATATTCATCCCAAAATACCGCACGCTGAGTGCCAAATAATGATGTCGTGGGAGTAGAACAGATAAATCACTTCAAGTACCAAGAGCAATCAATAAATAAAACACGGTCGATTCGATATTGCCTCGATTCTTTGAAACGCATATGACAGAATGAACAACTCGATCGACCTTGGATCCACAGTACCAGACGCAGCCGACTCGCCCATCAAATGCAGACATCCGTTAGTTGCGTGCATGGTAGAGCCTGATCCCGATGAATCAACTCAACAAAACCTTTAACGCTGCCATGTTCCGTTCAAAGGAAAACCGGCTCACAGCACAGTAGCTGTGGCAGGGCGCACTTACTAACCGAAAACAACGGATGTGCCACGTGCGGGCTAGGGACTAAACGAAGGCACGCCCTGATTGGTCAGGATGTCAGCAAATCAGGATCGAGCATTATGGATAGGCGGTTCTCGCTCTCCCCAAGAAGATTCTGGAGTGGTCTTGTGGAACATTATAGGATGACCCTACAACTGGCTGTAATAATCTTCCTGTCTCCATAGAGGGCCACCTCAAGCTACCGTGCCTTCTGATAAACCGCAGTGAGAGGAGCACGAAGGGCCGACATAGAAATTGTTCCACAGTAACAACTGTCGACTAGAGTGGTCAAATGAAAGTAACTTCCTTACATGGAGCCGTTCATGGCATTGCTTGCGTGCATGAGACAAATTCTGGGGGAGGCGCGTAACCGAAAAGTTGATTCTCGCGGTAGCTAGAGACATAAATGGCCGGTAATGTAAATCTTGAGGGCCATTGCACCACATTACATGAAATGGAAGTAACCTCAGAGTCCACACAGGTGAGAGTAACAATTCTTAACATGTTGCTAGCGACTAGTGTGGGACCACGTAGTCCGTACTAACGGACTGTACAGCGTTTCATTGAAAATTCTAATCGGTGGCTGATCGAATGCAGAACGAACAATGGGTTCAAAATAATGTCTTTGCTTAGCCCACATGACTAATTTAGTCAAGTAATTAGACCAATTGAGGATAATAAAATATTGCTCATGGCTATTCATAGCTCTTGTCGGGAAACTGATGAGTAACAAAGGAACGAGACAGCTAGAAATGATGATCATAAAAACAGAATGTGGTTGGTTCTGAAACGCACACCGTTGCGTGTTTCCTTCGGCTTAGCACTCAACATGTAACAAGATCGGTCGCATATACCTTTGGTTTAACGTTTCTAGCCGTAATCGCAGTGTCGAAGACCACTAACTATACCAACGTGCACGATTTGGTGTATTCGATATGATGATTCAATGAAGCTAGTCAAGGAATCTGAATACTTGAAGGCAGCTAAGTATTGTTTCTAGCTTCCACGATCCTTTTGGGGGACCAGACTCATGGGACTCGGGACAGCCATGCAGAGACAGAATGTGACCAGTCAATGTGTGACTGGTCACGACGTGACTGCTTCGCTGATTCAATTCATCGCACGAGTGTAACCAGTAAATCAGTTGGACACATAGTAATTGTGCGTACAGATACGTTTAGTGGGACTGCGGTAACTGGTGAAGAAACAAACACCCCTCCTGCCACATCAAGCTGATGTGTCCCAGTCAGAACGAAACGCGTAGTGTGCTATATTTTCAGGACTACCCCATACTATGCCCTTGAAAAAGCGCAAGGTTTGTGATCACCTGTGGTCCACATCGAACTCGCTAGGCGTAGATCCAATAAAGAAACTGTGATAACATGGGGAGAAGCGGAAAGCTAAAACCGCGTAACCCGCGAACGTAACGTATTCGTTTAGTCAAAATAAACCCAGAAACTGTTTAATGTTCTATGCCCAATATCAACCTAACAAGGAACTCGCAGAATTCAATGTCTGAACTGAAGTTCCACCTCAGGAATTCAAGCTTTCGTCATAATTAGAGACGGAGAAATGTACGATCACTCTAGATACAGTTGACGTAAGATTTGATGACAATGTGAAAAAGCCAGCGTCGGAGTTCGTCCTCCTAAACAGTGAAAAGTCCAGGCGGACCGAAGCACCACCAGACCGTAAAGTAATCAAATCTTCATGAAGGATACTACTCACAAGGCTGCTGAAAATTCTTCGACAACCCACGACCGGTTTCGCCCTGCTTGGGGCTCATCAGGTAGGCGCAGTCCCCGAGTTTCCATCAACCTTATTTTCCTTTGAAATGAGAACCCCCAGCAGTGATGGATCAGAATCAATATGAGCAATGTTAATCGATTGTGGGAAACTTGTACGGATGGCCAAAAATTTTGCTTTGAGTGAGGAAGGTCATATAAAGTCACATTAAACTCTGAGACGGGATTTACCTAGGCTACCAAAAGTGCATTTCAGTGTTTCAACGGCGCACTGTCTAAAACAAAGTCAGACGACTTCCAGATTCCTTCCCATAAAATTGAGAGTCGATCGATTTTCAACGGCTGCAGTGAAAAGACGATTGCTGAAAATTCACAATAGCATTTGCTGCATTTGCAATGTATCTATGGGAGCTTTGGCTTAGGCACCTCGGTCTAGTTGAGGTGATACCGAATTTAAGCTGATGTAATTTAGAAGGGTCAGACCTCAAGAAACACCGCCAACGCAGGCCAGCACCTGTACTGGATTTATCTAGCAGCGAACCGCCTCGAACCACAGGTTGTTTTTACCTTTAATTGAAAACTAGAGTGAAAATGGCTTCGTCAAGACTGAAAATGTCTTCTGGGTGACGGCTTAATGCAACGACTCAAAGTTGTTAAAATTTGCACGAGCAGCTGTAAATTGTTCAGTTCAGGTCCTGACATAATACACCAGCCTTCGAATTGGCAACGGCGGTTCGCAAGAGTACCGGTCAAGCATGGTTACCATTGGTAATTGTCCGACTGGTGGTGATTGTTCACTTAGATTCCATTTCTCAGACTTAAAAGGACAGAAGCCACACAAAAGACACTGGCTCCAGAAGTCATTGGCGTGCGCTTGTCTCCGAGCGTCCCATGGAAGGAACGAAAAATGCTCCAGAAATCTAATGGAGCATTGAATACGTTCGAATGTCTTCGATTGTTATCATCTTCGCAATTCTAAGGACGAACCTTAGAAGGCAAATCAATAAGCTTAGGCCATGCGTGAAGGGCCGTTTCACATAGATGTGAGGGCATGAAAAAGTGCCCGTTGCTTGACAGTTGTTTCCAAGGGAGATTCGCACTGTAAAAGATTCCAGAGCACCCAAAAGGCATCCCGGGATTGCCGATTGCCTAGAGGCATTTCGAATGAACAGCAATACATAAACGCTTCCAATATGTTTTCAGGAAGTGACGCAGGGCCAATGAAAAGTCATATAACGGATTAAAGATGTCTACCACGCAACCTGCTAGGTGAAAGAAGAGGTCAGGGCTGGATTGTAACCCAGAGCCCAACTGTAAGTCACAAACACTCGGGACGAAATTTCACAGTCACCAAACACAAAAGAGAATGAGGACAACATCACTACACCACTGTCTACCGCAGACTGTTCTAGTTAGGCTCAAATAAACCAGCACTTATATCACTCACGCAGCTCAAAACGAGACCAGAGATCGATTCTGGGTACGTTAGCGAGGTGGGAATGTCACATTGAACGGCAACCAGACAGGTGGGAGCTGTAAATAGACAACAAAGGCGAATTTAGGCGATAAAGAAGCAAATTCTTATCTCTTAATAGTCCCATACGAGAAAAAAGAATCATTCAGTAGCTCACTCGTACGCAACCCAAAATTAAGGCACATAGTAAGGGGAAATCTCAGTGTCAAGCATTTGCGTCCTTATGAAAGCAAAAATCGGCAGGATGATTGCTAACCATTTCTTCCAAACAATATCAGCAGCCATCCGGTGAACCGATTCCACGTACTCGAAAAACCAGGTGCGAGTCACTTGATGTACCTTTAATCGAGCGAAGCATGCAAACGCCATCTGAACCACACAGATGTCTATCGACACATAACAGCAAAGCAACAGATGCTAGATGAATCGAACATTGTACGCTCTGAAGAGTATCGGATACAAATGAAAAGCTGAGGAACGCCTCGTGTAAGTTAGGGGGTAGTTCCCCAGTCTTCAACCTGCAAACAGCTAAAATCAGTAGATCCAAGTGGACATTAGCATACGGTCGAAGCAGCGACTACGATCTTTTCAACCCCACATCTCCCAGTCCAGCCTGTATGTCACAGGGTCGCGCAAGGGGCCAGCCTGTATGTCACAGGGTCGCGCAAGGATAAGAGATGTACTTTTTTGAAACAGTGTCTTGTGGTGATCAAGTCGCTGTATTACACCGCGGCATACTTCAATCCCCCCTCCTTAGAAGACAGTCAGCATGGGATGAATAAACACTAAACAGATTCGCCCTAATAAGACAGCCTTACTGTCTTCTTTCTGCGGACATGACAAGTGATGTCTGTTAAAGGTGCCCAGCCTCAAAACGGCGGCCTTATTTATTAAGTTCTAACAAACAAGGGACGATAAGACAGACAGGACACTGACACCTTTTTAAACACAGTAACTTACAGTCACCGTATTGTCGAAATGTTAAACACAACACTGATAGTCATATTCCCGTTGATTCGCACTTTGTTATTCGCCCCTATCTGATGTGTGTTTCAAGTCGCTTATGGAAGCAACGATGGGTGGAAGGCACGTTGATTCAGTGCTGAATTAATTTTAAGATCTAATGCTACTCAACTGTGAAGGGAATGAATTCGAATTCAAACGAATCACCAAACTATGCAGGATCCCTCAGATTCCCGATGGAATTCTGATGGTATTCATACTTGCTTCATTCCAACTGAAAGACACTACAAACGGGACAGCTCATGACATGGAGCAGGAAGGACACAATAGGTCTTGGCTGAAATGATGCATACCGGCTGCGAAGCTGAAACATCAAAGATGTACCACATCAATGACTGGAGGTACTCACGGATATGGCGATGTGGTGGTGCTGTAACCGCCCCCTTTTCTGGTAATCGAACCACCGTTGTTTACACTTTTTAGAAAATTTATTCTCAACCTCCCTCTAACCTACACTACTCATCATCATCATCATCAAAAACAGCAACATCAGTGTTGGTACTGATGCCTCAC